TTGTTTTTCTTACTACTGCCACGTAGTGTGAATCCCAACCTTGATATCTCCGGAAAGGCAGTCCAGCTGCTCTCCAAGGGTTTGTTTCCAGAGTGTGGAGATGAATTACACCCAGTTGGCATCACGTTTTTTCCCCAGAGAGATGATGTCCATGGAGCCAGTTTTACAATAGCAACCAAACCAAGCTCTCAGCCCATTCCTCTAGCAACCAAAATCCCTCATGAGTCAAGGTTCAAGACCAGGTCTGAGTATGGGGACACATTCGTATCCTTACTTCAGGTAAAGCACGGTTACCGTAAAACAGTGTAATGTGTTGTCTGCGTGTTTTCTTACCATTGAAGTTGACGGTTCTGATGTAGTTCAGCAGCACTTGTCCCTCCACAGGGTCCATGTTGTTGCAGACTCCGGAGCTGCCGGGACACATATCCTGGTGCATGTTGTGCAGAGCGTGAGCCATGGCGTAGACCGCATCGATCACAAACTGAACCTTTCCTTCCTGCTCGTAGAGCGAGTCCCGTCCGATCCTCTCGTCACCTGCAGGAACACACACTGTGTCATATAATGGGAAACCAGTTGATAAGTTGACTCACAGCTGGTCCCAGACGCCCTTCAGGTGTAGCCACACCTGTACATTTCTTCTTATCGGGGTCCAGTTTGATTCCAGGCCGGGTCAGTTTGCACCTGAAATCGTCTTCCCAGAACTCAGCAAACCAGATGTTCCTGCGGTTGTTCTCCAGGGAGCGAGTCATGAAGTACTGATCAAACCCTGCACAACAACAGTATAACACGCATAAAACACAAACAGCATCGAGTCTGAAAACGTCCAGATGAATCAACTTTTTGGGACTCCAGCCTGTTGCGTTTTTGTTTTCTTGGTTTTACCGTCAATCGAAGCCCGCTTTGGCAGGATGGTGACTGCACCCTCAGCGACATCCTCCAGCTCAGTGACCGGTGAGCTTTTTGCACCCCAGCTGTCTGACCCCACAAACAGGAAGTGGCCCGTCAGGTTAGCACGTTTTGCTGCCTCAAGGACACGCCTACCAGAAAGAGACAGAAAGAATCAGACAGTAAGTGATGTGACAACACATGAGGATGAGTCCGCTGCCATTGCTGCTCCTCAGCCTCTGAGCAGACACACATATGGTATCAATTTCAAAGTCGCCTCATTCTCCAGAAAACTTGACCTCTGACCTTGAGGTCAAGGTCAAAGAGATTGAAACTCTTGTAAGTATCGGGGCGGCCGTGGCTTAGGGGGTTGGGAAGCGTATCTGTAACCGGAAGGTCGCCGGTTCAATCCCCGGGCTCTCTGTCCTGGTCGTTGTGTCCTTGGGCAAGACACTTCACCTACCGCCTACTGGTGTTGGCCAGAGGGGCCGATGGTGCGATATGGCAGCCTCGCCTCTGTCAGTCTGCCCCAGGTCAGCTGTGGCTACAATGTAGCTGCCTCCACCAGTGTGTGAATGTGAGAGTGAATGAACAGTGGCATTGTAAAGTGCCTTGAGGTTTCTCAAAAGGCGCTGTATAAATGCAATCCATTATTATTAGTAGTAGTAGTTTGACTGCCTCAATGACCTCACCCCTAATGATCAGCAAGTAGCCTCATCCACAGACTCTGCTCCAACTGTTCCCTCCACTGCCTCCAGTTAAAGGCAGCATCACCCCATCCACACTATTTACACTGTGTGAGTAGAGCATTGCTTTTAGTCACCTGACAATTTGCCAGAATTGCTTAGAGTCTTGTGTTGACCTGAACTTCTTCCACACCCACGGTTGGGAAGGAAGATCCTGTGGACTGGCCGTCTGTCAGACAGGGCGCCGACCCTCTGTCACAGATCTGTCCAGTTTCCTCTCACAGCAGCTGATCTAACTCATCACCAGGTGATCAGTTAACAGCTCAGCTCCTCTCTTTGCCTGAGTGTCAGAGCAAATCCGTCAATACACCAATCTAGGTCTTGTAGCTTCGTCAAGTTTCCCAATAGATCAATGGAATCAGTTCAGGAAAACTCTGTCATTCGCTGCATACTTCCAGTCAGGTGGTCAGGAACCTTTCCCTGACCTGAAGCAGCAGGGAACCAAAGTCCAGCCAAACTCGTGCTGCCTGTGCAGCCCCGCCTCCAAGGTGTAACGACTCTGCGCTGTAGTGCACACTTTCATCCAGGCCAACACGCTTGTTCCCAGCATTGAGCGCATACGGTTTACTGAACATTGGTTTTGTTGCTTAATATACATTTTTGTGTGTGTTAATTAATTCGGTTCTTCCGTCAGCAGCAGGTTTACACTCCACACTGACAGAATGAGGTCATATAGTAACAATCAGGCTCGGCAAACACTGATGTGTGTGTAGGTACGGCAGGGGTTGCTTGTAGATCTGAAAAGGCTCCTGCCCTCAATGAGTCCAGATCCGACCGAGCTGCAGAGAGCTATCGAGGTGCAGCTCCTTCGCAGCGCCGTAAGTG